TGAGGGGGCCATAGAGTTTCTGTCATAACTACTCTGCTGTCCTGTCACAGAAGCAACAAATAGACCATATGTAAATGAATGACGTGGCTATATTCCAGTAAAACTTTATGGACTCCGAAATCTGGATTTCACATCACGAGATTCTTTTAATTTTTTTTCTAACCATTTAAAAATGTAAAGGCCATTCTTAGTTCATAGGCTGTATAAAAATAGGCAGTGCGTGCTATGGTTTGCCATTCTCCAGAAGGATAAATTTTAGACATTTGAGGAGAAAGAAAAATATTGTCTGAGCTTTGGAATTGATTGTCTTGAAAGCCTTCCAGATAATTAGGCTAAGACAAGTTGTTTCATTTCTCTGTTCCTCTGCTTGGCTTGGTTGGAATCTGGTGGTATGTCCACTGCAAACATTTATAATGATTAATTTTAAATGCAGGAAGGGCTCTCAGCTTATATGCACTGGCTATCTTGGAGGGTGATTTGGGAGATTTTATTTGGAGCCAGTTGGATTTAAGTCAGGCTTCATCATGCCTCTAGTTTTTTTTTAAAAACACACACATTGTTTCGTCATTGCTGCTATCCTGCCCACAACCTGCTCCCAGGCATTTGCATGCCGTGTGGGCTGGGTCATCCCTGCTTCTCTAAGTCACTCTGATTAATGCAGGTTCTTAACATTTTCCCCTTTCAGTCTTGTCTTTTCTGGACATCTAGTAATAAAATTTAGTAATAAAATGTTTCTGGGTATTTTCCGAGCCAGCTGCTGTAGCCTAATGGTGATGGACAAGTTAATATTCAGGAGTTGAAAGATAATTCATTTCCTTAAGCTGCTCTTACACTATTAGTCAGGAAGGTTGGACTCACTTCTGCTATATACCTTACAATCTCTTTTGTTTTGCTTTTCTTCAGTCAAGTGTCTATTTATGAGGTGGACAAGCAAGACTGTCGCAAATTTTGCACTACCGGCATCGATGGAGCCATGACAATTTGGGATTTCAAGGTATTTTCTACCTTTCAGAACAAATCTTGTTCGTGTTAAAACTCTTGTGAAAAGAATGTCTCATTTCTTGAAGCAAAATGTCAAATCCAGTATACATAAGAAATGTAGAACATTAGACTGTAGTTGTCTTTAAAACCTGTAAGTCATCAGCAGAAGGGAAACATACATTCTCAATGAGATGGAATACATACTTCTAGATGTCCATTTATTCATTGAGGATAAACCGAGTGCTGTTTTTGAAGCAGGCCCTGTGTTGGGCACCAGCCTAGGTTTAACTAATAGATATATTGTTATGGTTTATTGTAATCAATTTGGTAAATGTTCACTAAGTGTCTCCTGGGTGCCAGGCAGGGTGTTGGGCACTGAGGATATCAAGATGAAGGAGCTCCTGAGGGGCTTGTCTGGTAGAAGAGAGAGGTAGGCCCTCTCTGAGGGGCTTTGTGGGGATGCTAGACAGGGCTCCAGAAGAGAAGACAGTGCCTCTGTTTTCACACAGAGGGATGTGGTGGGTGCATGGGCTGCACCACTGCAGGGAAGAGGTTGTACCTGACCTGCATCTCGAGCTTCGATGGGGTTGGGGAGGGTGGGGGGACCATGAGCTGAGGAAGCAGAGGTGCGCATCTCAGGCTGCAAGGGCAGCACAAACAGAGCAGCCTAGGGTTCAGGGAGCACATGCTGCGTCCCCAGCACTGCCCATGGTGTGGCTCCAACAGAAGCACAAGGTGTAACTAGAAAAAAGAGCTATGGCATGGCCACGGAGAGGACACTGGGCATTGTCTGCAGACAGCTGGAGCTGTTTCAGAACTTAAGTAGAAAGGCACCGGGCTGTATAGCTGGATGGGCTTCACGGGGCTACTGTGGGATCCAGGCAGAGCTCCTGAGTCCAGTGAAGAAGTGATGAGGATGTGAACCCCTGCAGTGGCAGGAGGTGAGGCCAGGAGGTTCTGGACTGGAGAGAGATTGAGGAGGCTAAATGGAAGGCTCTTGACAATGAGGGACAAATCCAGGAGGACTCCACCCTCTCTAGCTGGGCATTGGCAGATGGTGGGTGAACTAGGGAGGAGGAGAAGGACGGGTAAGAGAAAAATGGCTCCTCCCTGTGGCTCTTGAGTTCACTTCACCTATTTGTTAACCTCCAAAATAGGCCATCATTTACACAGTTTTGCCACCACCTATGTATTTCCATGATGTTTGATTCCCCTTGCCTTGGGTGAAATACTTAGTGTAGAAAAGCCTCCAACATACTTTTTGGAGAAACAGTCTTCCTCTAAAGTCTCCCCCCTCCTTTCACCTTCCCATCTTTATGTCCTGGACATCTCCATTCCTGTGTAATGATCACCACCTGGGCAGCTACAGCTCAACCCTTTATTTTTTGATCTCTGTACCAGGCTGGCTGCCGTGTGGCCTGCAGGAGCATAGGAGAGCCTGCCACTGGGGCATGTAGAGTGTAGTGAGGAGGCAAGGTACATGGGCCAGTGACACAGGGAGGAAGTACGTGCTTTAAGAACATGGAGGAGTGAGGGCTGTGCCCAGAGCCTGTGGGTTAGCATGATGGGGACAATGAGTACATGGCCTGGAGGACAGCCTAGTCCTGGAGAGTCTCTGCAGGGTGAGTGCTGGGAGAGTCTGGGTGGGGCCAGATCTGGGGGGACGAGTTCCTGCACCTCAACCAAGGAGGAGCAGGGAGTAGTATAGTACCATGGGGAAAGCTCCAGGATGGACAGTCCTCAGTAGTGATCTGTCTTCTTCCCACCTTTTTCAAGACCTTAGAGTCTTCTATCCAGGGCCTCCGGATAATGTGAAGCTGAGTGAGCCTCTGCCATCCAGCACGACAAACGGTGGCTGACCACAGCTCTGCCATTGGATGGTGAGGAAAGCCAGCCCCAAGGAAACACTGAAAACACATATCGTGCAAATAGTGTGTGGTTTTGTTTGAGTATAAAATTGGTGAAAGT